CGCCGGGTCACCTGCGGATGTTCCGTGAACGTGCTGCGGAGGTTCCGAAAATTGCGATCCACAACAATAAAAGAGAACATCCAAACGAAAGTGAATCTTAACCTATTAACTACGAGACTCACTCACTATCCTCTGCACTACGAACACGTTCGAGAAAGCACCCCTCTTGTTGGCGAGACATTGTAAGAGACAACACACTTGAAGTCTTGCAGAAGAAATGGCAGGCCATAGTGCTGCGGAACCACTGGCATTTTCCAGAATTTCCGCACCGCGTTACAAAAAGTCCTGCCGAAGTTCCAGTTTTCGACCAGTCTGACGTGATAGCCCTGCGGAAGTTCTCATTTTTGATGTTCCCACTTTTGTAATAGTAAACAAAGTCCTGCGCAGCTGTAAACTTGGCTAGTCCTGCGAAAGTTCCGGTGAATTGTGTGAGGGGCGTCAATTAACTCCTACACAATAAAGAAAATCTAAACTTCGACTTTTGCGCTCATGTTAAGGAGCAATGCAAGGTAAATTTTGGAAATTATGAGACCATTGTTAACTGATAGACGCTCAACGGATAAGTAAATTATGCGTAAAGCGCAGCGTACTCTATGATGAACAAATCAATGGTCAAAGTTCAGATTCGTAAGCAACATGCAACGTGGTGACAGAGCTCGGTCTATAAGCCCCTTTCATAGGGACACCCATGAACGTAAAAAAGTGAAAAATGAGTAAAAGTGATCAAAAACAACAGAAGATAACTGGGAAATATGCAAGTGTTAAAGAATCAATTTGAGAGTTCCATTATATCGTAAAGTTGAAAAATGAGCCATAAATCGCAGAACTGCTTTACATTTGAGTGAGAATCTACCTTTACTGTAGTTCCAGCAGTAGGCTTCGCTGTACCTGTTCCTTCTTTCTTGATTGTTTTGAGCACTCCTCCATCCTATAAACAATTTGACTGATGATTCGAAATGAGAAAGAGATTCATAATCTGCCTACCTTCTTTGGAGTAATGTCAACTGGCTCCGGTGTGGACATGCTTGCTTACTCAGGGGCGTTCTAAAATGAATGGTTAAATGTAAGGTGATAAAGGTGCCAGGGAAAGAAAGCAACGATAGACAGACTGCAGCTAGAAATTGCTCCAGAGATTTTCCGACTTCACTTCGATCAAAACTGCGCAGTGAATGGCGCGCGCAGACCGTAAGTATTGACACTTCATGATGATTCACATCGTAAATGCTTCAATTTGAGCGCTTTTCAACATAATAAAGTTGAAGAGAAGTGAGATATTCTTTTGTAATAAATAGACCATACCTACACTCAAGCTTTCTGCCATTATTTAAGGAAATCACGTTGATGTACATTGAAAATCCAACATAACCCCGAAGATAACATGTGAGAAATGATTACAATTACCCAAAAAGGAAAAGCTGAGCATTATGTCAGTTGCTTTTATGGGCCTAATGCGAAATTTCTGGAATTTTTGTGCGCTTGCGTCGAATGAGAAGTGGCGAGTGCCGTTGCACACAAGCGATCATGCGGAT